GGGAAGCTACCGAGCTTCGACACTAAACGAGGGTGTCTATTGTTACAACACAATTGAGGGTCAGTACTAATAATTTAAGTTTACATACGTTACCTGAGCTGACTCAGGTTTCCGATAAACTGTATAACCGACATATAACCGTAAGATTTCACCCATCTACTCTCCTAGCTCCAACCTTCCTAGTACGGCACTGCTGCGTACGCTTACACCTTGTTGCGGGCACGTACTTCTAAGTAGTGCGCGTGCTGCTCGGGAATGTGTAGTACCCAAACAGAGCCAGTCATAAATCCAAACGTGCTAGGTAGGAGGCAGGTAGAACAGGCAAGTCCAAAGTCCATAAAAAAGAGAAGGTCCAAAACACTCACTTCACTCGCCTCCCTCTCGGCTTCTACACAACAACTCACACGCAGCGGTTCTCGCTTTTTACTCCCCAACAAAATGGGTTCCGAGTGCTCTTCACCACAGAAATACAAGCGAACCGCCAGCAACACTATCCACCACAACTGCTACTAAACGACTCCCCAAAATGGCTAAACGATTGCTCCGCGAGACTTCCTGCCGGAAGTACGTTGTAAAACCGAAATTGTATGAGCTACGACTACACGAGACAAATGATGCTTGTGTGCTACGGAAAGGATGACATGTAGCGCAATGATACCTGCGCTAAACGAGTAAACACATAACCCTAGGCCAACCACCAAGAGAAAGTAATTTTTATCTATTGGACTAGCTTACATCGGAAGGAACCACGGAGCACTTCATGAAATCTATGCATTCCGGCAACACCTCCAAACACCTGTCAGCGAGGCGAAGGACGTAAACAATGCTGGCAATCCAACTACTAAAAGTCTTCCACTACTACGTCAAGAACCAGAGAGATGTGTACAAATAACAGCCAGGTAAGTACTAAAATGCTCCCTCTATGCATAACAAACCAGATACGGGGAACAGCAACCAACTAACCTGAACTAACCACGTAGTGCATGTTTTCTCTTAGAGCCTTGGTTACCGATTTGTTCGCTCTCCTTTTAAGGAGCAACAACTAGAATAGAGACAGACGATGCTACGGAGCCTCGAGTGAGAGGGATGTCGCAGGAATATAGCAGGACGAACGAAAGCGATGGCTACAATAACCGTTACAACTCCGAGAAGCCTCTAGCGATCCAAGAAGTACTAAGGTCTCAATCTAAGGAAGTATGCAAACGTGTCTACATGCACTGGCGTGTAATGCCGCCACAAGACCAACGAAGACGACGCAGGGGCATTATATACAGGGTTGGAAGAAGATAATTACCACTACACGGAATTTCCCAATACTACGTTAGAAATATCCTTTTAATGGCTTGTGCTAACTGTACCTAGTGACCTGTAAGTGCAATAAGTGTGCCACTTATTAAACAAGACAGAGAGAACCCACAGAAACACGTGATGCACGCACAATACGAGTAAGAGACTTCACCTCCTCTGGTACCCAGAGTAGGAGTATTCTAACTACCGACTGCAGAGTAACCGATCAGAAGAACGCACGGAACAACACCACAACTCTACAGATGGAGGCCCCAACCTACAGGGCCGGACCCGCGTCTTTCACACTTAATCCGGAGGCTCCGCCGCAGACATAAGGTCTTTAGCGTGCCAACTACCACTCAAGACTTCCCCAGACGGTTCCTGGAGTTCGTACGTCCACGGAGAAATTTTCCGACGAATCAGATACGGTCCAACAAATTTGGGAGCTAACTTGCTAGAGAAATATTTCGCGGAGTTAGACAAGACAAAATTTTTCTTCCAAACTCTCTGACCCACGACGAAATCGGGAACTCGCTTCCGAAAATTATACTTAGCAACGATTCTCTCAGCAGCAGCCTCCAATCTTCTCTTAACTTCAGCGAATACATTCCGGAAAGCTCCACTTTTGCTGTCACCAGCCGTCTGAGCGCCATTTTCGTTATCGAACAGATCTTTATTAGAATAGTCGTCGCCAGATAAGCACATGTTCCTGCCAAAATTCACAAAGAATGGGGAAAGTTTAGTAGTCTTGTGAGTTGCGATCCTAATCGCACAGGCTAACCTGTGAATCTGATCATCCCACTTCCTATGATTCGATTAGTTCTTTCCGTCGGGTTAGCTCTTGGATGACAATTGGAATTGTATTGGATTTTAACCTGAAAACTATCTGTGAACTTTTTAAATTCACGGCTTTTATACTGGGGTCCGTTATCGCAAAGGAGAAGACGGGGAACTCCGAAAATCATGAAGACTTGCTCCTCTATACGATTTATAACCATTTGTGATGTCGCGCTACGCATAGAAAACACAAGGGACAACTTTCTTAAGTAATCAGTGACGACAAGGATTCAGGAATTACCCCTTGTAAATCTCGGCAGCGGTCCTACTAGATCTGTGGAAATTACTTCCCAGGGTCATACTTCAATTCAATTCAATTATGCGTTTCACAAAAAATGTTGGGCGCGACTGCTAGGATCATTTGGCCATTGCCGACTTCCGTCGAGGATTTTCGCTTCTGGTCAATTGACCACCACGTACAAAGAAGAAAAATAACCAATAATTTGTTCAGCTAGCAAAAAACGATGCTGACCGATACCAAAAAAATCGGCTTCCCCCCGCTTCCACCACGGACCATCCGGACCCATCCGGCCTCCATACCGGCGTGAACGGGGAAAAACGACGGGTCCGACGACGATTATCACTTTAAGACGTACACTGAACACTCAGAACACTAAATCCACACCGTGGAACCGATATCAAACTTTTTGGGACGAATACATGGGATTCTGTCGGGAGCGAACAGAGGTTCCAGGGTCACACTTGTGAGCCGCACAAACCTGACATCTACTCACATAAACAGCTACATCTTGACGCATCTTTGGCCAGTAGTACTTTTACATTAACCTATGGAAGGTCTTATAAACACCTCCGTGGCCCGCAGTGGGTGGATCATAGGCTGCTGCAATAAGTCTCCGCCTGTCCTCGTTTGGGATGACGAGTTTCCAATAATCACCTGGGGCAACAAGATCAGGGTACTGCCGCTTAAAATACTTGTACAGCTTCCCATCTGAATACCTCCAATTCATAAATTTCAGTGGAGAACCTGTAACTCTACTAACCATACAATTGTACCAACGATATCTTATATCAACGGGCCGAACTCGGTCTTCACGAATTTCATCAACAACCGGTACTACACGAGACAACATGTCCGGTACGACCAGATCTTTACCCTTACGTTGAATTATTTGCAATTTAACAGACCAGCGGGCGAGTCTTCCGCTAGGCTCCTTGAGGTTGTGTAGTCATTTCAAACTAAAATGGTCCGTAATAACTTTGAAAGGAATACTCTCAAAATATATGCGCGCAGTTTTTCTATTGCTCAGACCACAGCCAAACATTCGCACTCGGTGGTATGGTAAACTCTTTCCTGTTTAGTAAGCGAGCGGCTCAAATAGCACACCACTCTGTCGCCCTCAGGACAAGGTTGGGTCAACACAGCACCAATTCCATAACCCGATGCGTCGGTCTGTATTACGAATTCATTTGAATAATCGGGACACGTCAAAATCGGAGCAGCAACCAATAACTCTTTAATCTTAGCAAAGAACTTATCGCATTCCGGGGTACAGTCAAATTTATGGTTTTTCTTCGTCAACGCGGTGATCGGGGCGATAATAGATGAGAAGTTGTCCACAAAACGCCTATACCAAGAAAAGGTGCCTACAATTCCACGCACTTCGCGAACTGTCCTAGGTCGGGGAAGTTCTACCATAGCTTTTACTTTATTTGGGTTAACTCTAAGACCTCACCTATCTACAACATAACCCAAATAGACCATCTCCGGTCAACAC